GGCTACAAAATAAACAAAATAATGTTTCCAGTCATTTATTTCAAGAAAGCTTTGTTATCTGATTCTCATTTTTCTGGAGACAGGAAAAGAAGTCGCCTGAATAGAAGAGTTTGAGGTGCCATAGCAGACTTGAAAATTGTAAGCTTAGTAGTCTGAAGGAGCTCTTAAAAGGCACTGGGTTTATCCCAAACATTAATTTAGAGGGGAGTGAAGTGAAAAGTAAGGAAAAATTGGAGAACCCTAAAAGAGGCAGACTGCTGCAACACTATCAGAAAAGCACGACACTGAAGATACTCTGGAAGAGGGTCTTTCAGCAGGAGAGGGGTGTGCAATGCCAAAGGCACTGGGAGAACCAAGACTTGTAAGCAAGACCAAAGTGTCTGCTTTGACAACAGAAACAGCAATATTAGAATGGAACAAGATCAAAGGGAAACTGGAGACAAGGAAGACAGCTTGAAATGGACTGAAGACTTGGAGATGAAAGGGCAAGAGGGAGCAAAACGACACAGCCACATGGCTTCTAATGACTCTCTGATCTGGGAAATATAGGAAATGTTAGTCTGTAGCACCCAGAGGAACCTTCTTGTAGTAATTGGAATAGTTGGCATGTGACGTATTTATAAATTTTTCAAAGCAAATTCAGTGGAGAGGCCAAGCCTATAAAACTGCATGAGCTAGTGAGATTTTATCGTCTGTAACGATGGGTGTATCTTGAGGAAATGGTGTTCTGCTTACATGGGATATATTCTGTTGTCTGCAGCTCTGCAGGGAAGATAATTCTCTCAATGGCTCCATCATCCTCTGATTTATCCAGCCAACGGCCACAAGGGAACTTGAGGCACTGTCCTAGTGATGGGGCATCAATCTCCACCCACTCCAGAAACCAGCCAGTTGAATTACCTGTGGTTGGAGAGATAACAGTGAATAACCCACAAAGCCTTTACAGACAACAGCAAATGAATCATTGCATTCCAGACCTCTAAGAAATAAGTCTTCCTCTCTTTTGACAATGGAAAAATAGAATAGATACCATAAATATCATTGCAAGCGATTGTCCAGGTTTGAGCTAATGTGCTTTACGTTTCTATATGCGTCAGGTTAAAGATGTGCACGTAGCAGTGCTAATTACTCCATCACTTGGATTAATTTGCCTTTGTAATAAGACAGAGGAGTTATCAACAAACATGTCCCTTGGTGCCCCACAGGGAAGGAATCCATGTGTCTTTCCACCGCTTCCCTGGTTTTAAGTAGAGACACATCTCTGTCTAAGAAGCAGCTAGGACTTGATGATGAGAACGACAAAAACATTGATAAAAGAAATGAGACAAGTCTATAGCTCCCATGTGGAACAAGACAAACTACCAGGTTTTGTGACATATGAGAAATCTCTCTAAAGATGCGGCTGCAAAACTAAAGAGTCTCTTACAGAGACAGAGGTTGCAAAAGTACCTGCAAGTTGTCACCACTGTGCTCTTATTGCCACAGCCATGGGAATGGTATTAGCAGGAGAGAGAGTAGCAGCAACAGCCAAAGTGACAGCACGGATCTGTCACTAAAAGGTAAATTACGTTTGGGGTCTCGGAGGCAGGTTATTTTATACAGCAATGTGCCTAATGTACTAGAAATACTACATTACAAAGCAGATTATCTTACCTTTATTGTCATGGCCTATCTTGATTTTTTTCAGGTCTCCGATGTCCACAGACTCCACTGTAAACTCATCTACCTTCCCACGCTCAAATTTGTTCTTGTTAATCTTTGAGGCCTTCAGGCTGACTATCCCTGTTGTGGTGATGCAAAAGGACATTGTTCAGCATGTGAAACAAATCCTCTGGGAATGTCAACAGTGGCTAACACATAAAAAATGGCTTTTCATCTCAAGATCTGAGCTTTGACCCTCCCTCCCTCCCTCTGAACCCAAATCTGTATCAACACCCAAAACATACATAATTCCTCCCTTGAGTGATCCTCTGGCAGTGCCACAGGGACGATGCCGTTGAGCTGTGTTTACAGCTAAAGAAACTGGTCCTACCCATCAGTTCCCTGTCACTCTCACAGGCATCCGAGTCACTGCACACACAACTCGGCTGCTTCCAAGAGGATTTGCTCATCAGCTGATTAAATACTTCTGGGCCACTCAAAGAGGCAGAGGAGAGCTGGATTTCAGGAGCATGCTGATTCATTGCTGAGGAAAGCAAATCACTCACTGCATTCACTACTCAGTAATGTAGTCCCAGTCAACTGTGCTGTTTCTATAATTGAAATTAAAGCCTTTAAATTGGCAGCTGGTGCAAATCAGCAGCGCAAAGTTCGACACTGATTTACTGCAGCTGGTGGTGTGCTCCCAGCTATCACGATGTATGTGGAGACAGTGAGAAGTTGTGCTAAAAAGGAGTGAGGAATGGGTACTGAGGAAACAAAAGGAAACCATGACCTGTCTATTCAGGTGTCCAGCAGTGAGGTGCTATCCTGTTCCATCATGTGAAGCCATACCTGTATCATCTTTACTTCCATAGAGAGTGATGAAGACATTGGCATCTGTCCCAGCATTCTTCTTGTCCCCGGTTTTCACTTTCACAGTGTATGTTGTTGATTTAGCTGTCAGACAAAATATCTTAATTTAAGAGTGTGAAGTCTGAGCAGGAATTAACTCTACTTTTCAATGCGTATATGTGTTTGGTTTGGGTTTTATTTTGACTGATTACAGCCATGTTATAATCTCTAATTCCTGCTATATGCTGTGGCAGCTCCTGGGGTGAGCTGGGCTATCTGGTTGCAGAGTCTTCTACTGTTCCAGTCATTCAGTACCTTGTTGGCATATCTACAGATAATTAATGTACTCAAGCCTTCCCATTTGCTTCCTGGGAATCTGTAAGGCTCTTCAAATCTGCCTCTGCTTATAATGCTATTTCATTTAAAAATCCCACAACACCCTCCCCTTTATTCCAATAGCACCAAATAATATATGTGCATGTAACACATACCAGAAAGTATGTGCACATTGACATAAACAGTTCATATTCATGAACACACCCTTCACAATAGCATCGTTAGGGAGGTTTCTATCACACCATCATCTAGCGAGCGCAGTAAACTCATAAAAATTGTGGAAAAGTCTAATATAGTCTTCACTGCGCTGCAAAGACCTACTCAAGGCTTCCAAAGAGGCACCTTTCTTCCATAGTTAGACATGTTTCCAAGATGCTGCTCAGCCAGAAGGTCCTCCTGAAGCAAAGGGCTATCCAATTTGTGGAAATTTGTTGGCTATACTATTTGTGGAAATCATTCATGTATTCAAAAGCATCTGAGGGGGGAGTTTAAGACCTTTCACTGGCAGTGAAGCCAATAGAAGTGCTGGGCATTCAGTACCTTTCAGCATTGGACCCAGGAGGGTGTCATTGCTCTGTGGTTAATGTGCAAAATAACGTACAAGAGAGACAAAGTTATTTAGGAGGACACAAGCAGCAAGATGGAAAGTGAGACTAATTTAGGTCCCTTCCCTTTCTCTGGTTATGTTTGCTCTCTGCTCAGTTTCATGTTAAAATGTTTAAACCATTCCAGTCCATGATGTGGGATGGCTGGGATTTATACCTTGGATATTAGCAATGAATGTGCATTTCAGTTGAGAGATGAGGACTGAACATGTTATCCATCTTCCTAGCTTTCTCACTTTGGGTCCAATCTTGTAAGATGATTAAATCACCTAAAAATGAGGTGTGTCCCCACCTCGCTGGCTGACATGCACTTCACACTTCATTCACACCTGAAAACTTCGTGGTCGGGGCAGAATTACTCACAGCCCAGTGAATGCTAGTTGCTAATGCCCTCAGCAGTGCTAATAACTTGATTCCTTTTCAACCCCACACTGGAAGAAATACAAGGCTAACATAAACCTTTCTGTTCCAGGCCCAGCGTTGCAAGAGACTGGCCATCATTTTCCGAATCTTTCTTTACAAATGCTTCATCCACTGGGACCAGCTCCCTGACAATCTGACCGTCATCTTCCTCAACTGCTAACCACCGCTGGCATGGAAAATAATACCTACAAGAATGACAGCAGCACCCAGCACTTACACAGGACTTCACAGGCTTTAATAACATAAACAGGCACAGATCAGAGGCTACTTAAAAAAACAAGATTACTCAAAGCTGAACAATACATCTGTTTTCATCCTTGAGCTCTGGTATTGTTGGTGGGAACTAAATACCTAAATAGGTTAGCGAGCACTTACTGAAAAGTGCTGTTTCTGAGCTGTCAGCCCCATATGACTGATTCCTTTTGGGTTTCACTCCCAGAAAAAGTTAAGTAGCTTGAGGGAACCTCCAGTCTCCCAGGTATTTTATGTTTATGAAGAGTGGACCTATCTTGAGGTCCTTATGAGCAGTCCCACCCACCAGAGCATTGTGCAGCTTTTAAGGATGTGACTTCAAGCATGTTCTAGCTCAAAGGCAAGCCTGTAATTCAGGTTTCTAACAGCCTAGGCTTTACTCATCCAGCTGTCTGTGAAAATCATGGGAGCTGGCTTAGGTCAGGACTTGCTTTTGGCCCAGATCTTTGCAATAGGTACAAAAGACAAATGAAATGCGGGGTCAGGGACTTCCAGAATGGAGCCTTGAAAGGAAACACGTGAGTGCAGGCTCTGCAAGGGGACCTCTTCAGGAGGGAGAGTCCCTCCCAGGAGAAACAGAGAAAAGCTGAGGTTTCCTTCCAAACACTGCTGGTTCCCAAACTGCAGAGATGCTGGGACAGAAAAAACCCCATACAGAGGTACCCCAGAATGGCCCCACACTCAGTATAACAGCACAATCATCACAAGGCTCCCAAGGGATGCCTGCTCCCTGTGAGTTGGTGAGGAGCTACAACCATGCCCCTTTGCATCTCCTCTGCCTTCCCGCAGTTCTGCAGGCTCCTGAGAACGTGCCCCCTCTTCTGACTGTATGAAAAGGGTGCAACAGGCTGCTCACGTGGTGCTCTCCTTGAGGTCAACAATTTCTACCCTCTCCAGGAACCAGCTTGGGCTAGCACCAGAGTTATCATGGCGGATCCGCAGCTTCTTCAGTTCAGCCAGGTCAATGGCTTTGACAGTGAACATGTCCACCTGCGCAGGAGGCAAGAGGTAAATAACTGTGTTTCCAAGAAAGGGGGAAAGAGAGACAGTAACTGGGCCAGAGTCATTTTTTCCTATTAAAACAAAAGGTGTTTGTAAGTCTCCCTTGTATTCTTAGGGTAGATGTACTAAAATAACTACAAAGCTGCAAGCTCTCCTGTTACACTCATGCTTGGCTCCTATGAGGCTGTAACAGCCATGGAGCTGCATGACCCTTCGATCCTTTCTTTACCTCATCCCCATTTCAGCTTCCTCTAGGTTTAACTGATGTCTCCTAAATCTCATTCCTTTCAGGCTTAGCATTTTCCTCCAGACTGAATCTGGAACTGGACACAAACGCATTGACTCCACGGAAACTCTCCTGTGCACCTCCATGTGCTTCATTTCAAACCACAGAATTTTTTCCTTTTGTCATTTACTACAATCATGAGGTTCATTTATTAGCTGTATTAGCGTGACAGATGGACCTTGTTATCATAATGCTTTAAACATCTTAATGTGATTAACTTGTTGGTAGACTTTGGGCTTCTACTCCCAAGAGCAGAGCATGTTACATTTGCAGCTTGGAGCTCTTCCCACTGAATGAAGAACCATGTGCAGGTTGCAGTTTCACCGGTGCCAAGCTCATAAATCAGAGCTAACAGCTTATTTAGCAACCTTAGGCTCTTTTTTCAGATCTCAAGTTTTCCACAGCTGGTTATTGTTTCCGTAATTTTTCGTTATTCAAAATTATTCCTTGAACAATTGCTGGATATAACACTAGCTTGTTAATTGTTCATAAATATTATTTTGGTAAATATTCAATCTACAAGAGATGTTGTTTAATTGGATTAGATTATAATGTAATTATAACACACCATGTGATATTACTTCTATTGCCTGACTGGTAGAGTAGAACATTCAGATTCTAAATGTATTTTCAATCTCAATACTGACATACTGGAATTGCCTCACAAATGCTCTCCAATATTAATTTAAAGTTTATGGTGTTCAAGTATTTCTGGCAGGAAACATTACCAGAATACCTACAAGAAGCAGATGCAGCAGGTGGCTCCAATGTAGAATTGGTGTTCAGCTTATTATTCAGATGAATTTCCCCTGGAAAATGTTTTGAGGCATTTTGCTTTAAATAATATATTTAAGAAACAAAGCACATCTGAGCTTTAAGCTGAAACAAGCAGCCAAGCCTTGCAGAGAAGAGACTGTAATGAATGGCCAGCGTAACTGAGACAGCTCCGCCAGCCTTCTGCTTACTTGAGCGAGTTGAGTTCATGCATTACCTGGCCCTTTTCAAACTTGTTGAGGTTATTCGACCTTTTCAGCTGGCGCTCACCCGTGTCTCCTCTTCCGACGCCATAGATACTCAAGAAGACATTAGCATCCGTCCCAGCCCCCCACACATTCCCAGTGAGAACACGGACTTCATAAGTATTCTCTGCAAGTAAAATTGCAAAGGGAGATCAGGAAGAGCCCAGAAATAGCTGTATTACAGCAGATCTGTGGCTTACCATGAAAGCAGGTATCCCAAAAACGCTGGCACAGTCAGCTTTAAGAAAGGTTTTGTCTGGAGTTTGTTAAAATGTTTGCACATGTCTTTAAAACATGAGGGGCTCCATCTTTCTCCAGCCCCTGTCATTAACCAAATAAATAGTTAAAGTTTGCTAAATTCCTAGTCACAGTGGTAACTTGTGAGACTTGTGACCCAAGTTCCCCAGACAAGCCTTGGAGAATCCTATAGCAGTCCTTTAGGATACTCCCATTTCAGGCTGTCTCCTCCATCCTCCACCTGAGTTTAACCACTGTCCTCTTCCTCCCCAGAGCTGATCGACCAACTCACAGTGTAACCTACACTGCGGGCCTGGGGCAATGGGATGGCTGGGGGGTCATGAATGATCCTGCAAAGCACCACAGTACAGTTATCATCCTTCATGCAACCGCTGTATCCACACACACATGCACGTTCCCTCTGATATTTACCCTCCAGGGCAGATTCTCCATCAGGCACCAGCTCGACCACAAGCTCCTTGTCTCCTTCGTCTTTAGCCAGCCAGCGGTGTGCCACAAATGTATAGACATCCATTACTTCTTCCACTTTGGTCTCCTCTTCTTCGTCCTCATCAGACTTCTTTTTCTTCTTCTTCTTTTTATCAGACTCCTTCATCTTCTTGGCAAGCCGCTTCAAGGTGACACTTTCCAGGAACCAACCATCCCCAATGCCTTTCCCATCATGGCCTATCCGAATCTTATAAATCTTGCCAACATCTGCAGCCTCTCTCTGCCACCAAGGGAAAGTCAGCACCCAGGAGGATATAAGACATCTTAACTTCATAAAGAGCATTCTTAAGAATGAGAAGCATCACCTCTATCACCCAAAACCATCTAAGCAAGGATAAAATCAATTTTTAATGCAAGTTTACCTTTATTTTTTCGTTCCTCTTTTATTCTTTCATAATTCCCATCACCAAATCTCATCTGAACAGACTGAGATGACATTCAGAACAACCATGGTGAGGATAGGAGCTGAATTCTTATTTACTGGGCTCCCTGCTTCTCCTTTGCTCTCCTCACCAGTATTGTCTCTATGTTGTCATTAAAGGTGAATATGCCAAAACATCATACTAGTTTATCAGATTCTCAGTCCCTTGTTTTTAAATGAGGAGGACTACAAGGATGTCATGAGGTTATGCAAGGAGAAAATTAGAAGGGCCAAAGCCCAGCTAGAACTTAATCTGGCTACTGCCATAAAAGACATTGAAGAATGTTTCTATAAATATATTAGCAACAAAAGGAGGGCTAGGGAGAATCTCCATCCTTTATTGGATGCAGGGGCAAACATAGTGACAAAGGATGAGGAAAAGGCTGAGGTACTTAATGCTGCCTTTGCCTCAGTCTTTAATAGTAAGGCCAGTTGTTCTCTGGGCACCCAGCCCCCTGAGCTGGAAGACAGGGACGGGGAGCAGAATGAAGCCCCCATAACCCAAGGGAAAATGGTTAGCAACCTGCTACACCACTTAGATGCACACAAGTCAAGGGGGCTGGATGGGATCCCCCCAAGGGTACGGGGGGAGCTGGCAGAAGTGCTCACCAAGCCACTTTCAATCCTTTACCAGCAGTCCTGGCTAACTGGGGAGGTCCCAGTTGACTGGAGGTCAGCAAATGTGACACCCATCTACAAGGGCCGGAAGGAGGATCTAGCTGGTGAAGGGCCTAGAGCACAAGTCTTAGGAGGAACGGCTGAGGGAACTGGGGTTGTTTAGCATGGAGAAAAGGAGGTTGAGGAGAGACCTTATTGCTCTGTACAACTACCTGAAAGGAGGTTGTAGTGAGGTGCGTGTTGGTCTCTTTTCCCACGTACCAAGCAATATGACGAGAGGAAATGGCCTTGAGTTGTGGCAGAGGTGGTTTAGACTGGATATTAGGAAAAGAGTTGTCAAGCAGTGGAACAGGCTGCTCAGGGAAGTGGTTGAGTCCCCAACACTGGAGGTATTCAAAAGATGTGTAGATGTGGTGCTTAGAGACGTGGTTTAGTGGTGGGCTTGGCAGTGTTAGGGTTACAGATGGGATCAATTCAATCATCTTAAAGGCATTTTCCAACCTAAACAATTCTATGACTGTATGATTCTAAGTTAATAAGATACATTTAATAGTTAGCACAAGATATGAACCAAGCAAGAAGCAACAATGGTATAGCAAAAAAGCAGTAACCTTGGACTCGGATAACTTGCTCTCTGATGCGGACCATGGGCTTGGACTGCCCTTCTGCATACTTCTCATCTGGAAAATTAGAAGAGTACCTTCTCACTTTGCTAGCGAGAGGGTAGTGAGAGCTGAGAGGGTGCTATCATTAGTGATTACTGTGCATCAGTGGCAGAAGGCTGTACCAATAAGATTTCCATCTCTCTAGTCAATACAGCAGATAAAAAACCTTGCTGGTTTAGATCGTTTATCTGAATTACTACCTAATGAAGTTGGATAGCAGGTTTTACTCCACGCAATCCTTCAAAAACCAATGACTTGTTTCTGATGATTGCTTACGCTGTTAGGCAGTGTTTATGTTATAAAATTTGCAAACATTTGCTTCAGGCTGAAAACTGGCAACTTGGCGTATAAGGTTTCAGTCTAGAAGCATTTTTTTCTATAGTAGATTAAAACAAAATCAATTGCATACAAGATGCTTATCAGAAAACTAAAATTAATCCAGCTGTCCTGGCATAAATAATGTGTCTTTCCTTACACCTGTTTACCCTTAGATTTGCTATAATCATCCTGCATGCCCTGTCTACAACTGATGGCATTTCCTATTGGCATGTAGCTCACAGAATCTTATTCTTGCCCATACCTTTCTGTAAATATTCATATCATGAAAGAGATAGAGGATCTGTCTATTAATGCTTCAGAGCTTCTGCCTTGTATGCTTATTAAAGAAGTCACAGAAAATGGGCAGAACTTTAAAGTCTGGCAATAAACATCTGAGAGAGGATATAAACATGTCTATGTAAAGAGAACACTGTACATATGGCTTTATTATAAATCTGATATTGGCTAATAGCTTTTACTCATAAATTTTGGAAAGCTTATTTCCTTTAAAAATCAGAGAAACCTAATCTTAAAATTATAGAGTCTTATAAAAGCAAGCATTTATAAGGTGCTAGTCATCTTAAATCCCAAAGAACTCATTAAAAATGGATGAACATCACTAACTCCATTCTATAAGGCAAGAAACTGAGGCAGAAGGAGGTGAACTGGTCTCAGAACTATGCATTACAAAACTGTGGTAAAGCTGTGGATAAAGGCACCCCCGTTGGCCAGTGACAACAGGAGTGATACACCAGTCTTGATGATTTAGGGGAGCTTCCGTGACTCACTCCAAGTAGGTGCTTAACTGTGATGAAATGGATCCCACCTCTGTGGACTGCAAATTCACAAGGAGACCTAGGCACCACTGTGCTGAGCCCTGTGCTGTGAGCACATATGACAGATGTACCTTAAATCCTGCTTCCATCTGGACTTTGTGCTTCACTGTCCAGATGTTGATGTCTCCTGAGGTTACTTCAATACAAAAGGATATGGCTCTGACATGTCCTGACAGCACATCCTGTCCTTGCTCTAACCCCACATCAGGGCAAGAACTAAGACCATTCCTTTCCCCCAGACATCCGTTTCTCTGGACAGAAAACCTAAGCAAGCCAGCCAGAAAAGGCCAACCATGTCCTGGGCTGCCCCCAGAGCAGCGTGGGCACAGGGCGAGGGAGGGGGTTCTGCCCCTCTGCTCCCCTGCAGCCCTGCGCCCAGCTCGGGGGCCCTCAGCACCGCACGGGCATGGAGCTGTCGGAGCGGGGCCGGAGGAGGCCACAGCAATGATGCGAGGGCTGGAGCAGCTCTGCTGTGAGGCCAGGCTGGGAGAGCTGGGGGTGCTCAGCCTGGAGAGGAGAAGGCTGCGGGGAGACCTGACTGCGGCCTGGCAGTGCTGGCAGGGGCTCAGGAGAAAGATGGGGACAGGCTTTTTAGCAGGGCCTGTAGCAATAGGACAAGGGGTGATGGTTTTAAACCAAAAGAGGGGAGACTCAGACTGGATATAAGGAAGAAATGTTTTATGATGAGGGTGGTGAGGCACTGGCACAGGTTGCCCAGAGAGGTGGGAGATGCCCCATCCCTGGAAACATCCCAGGCCAGGTTGGACGGGGCTCTGAGCACCCTGCTCTGGTTAAAGCTGTCCCTGCTCACTGCAGGGGTTGGGCTGGGTGGGCTCTAAAGGTCCCTTCCCACACAAAGCACTCTGTGATTCTATGATAAAAGGATGGTGGTCCAGTGTAGCCAGGTCCCACTCAGGAGAGGATGCCAGACCACACTGTGGTGCATGCCTGCTGCTCAGCCTTGTCAGCCCAGGACCTCTTGCTGGATTAGCCAGGTCCTGGCTCACATACCTGAGTTATGCCTGAGGCTTTTCATCCCTGCAAATACTCTGCTTACGCTTGGGTTGCTCAGAAAGAGGTGTGGACTCTGAAGTATAAACCTAAATGCTGGCCAGACTGATAGTTGGCGGAGTGTGCCGTACACCTGGAGCACCGTGACTGTGCAGTGCTCGCTGGAGTAGAGCTACAGGCAGTAGAATCCATGGGGCACTCACACGTTCACAGAAATTAGAGCAGCAAACCTCTGCGGGGTTGGGCTGACAACATGTACCAACTAGATAAAGAAAAGGGACAATAATATGTGGTCAGGACCAAAATTTAAGCTTAAGGTCTTTTGAGATCTAATGCAAGCACCTCCTTTTGAAACTAAAGGTAAACAAATGCTGCTATTAGACCATATTCTTCCATGACACCTTTGCTACCAGTCCCTCAGAAGATGAAAGTCACTCCATAAAACACAAAACCACCCGAAAGATACAGAAAATCCCTTAAAAATATGGATAGAGCAGACACCAACAGGCCTGACAATGTTAAAAAGTCAATGGTTTTGTATGACTGGGCCAATTAGTCTGTTGATGTCTCAGTTTTGGTCGGTCATTTCTTTCCCCTCATAGAAGCATCAACAACTGCCTTCATCATACCTTGAAGATATCTGTGGCTCCCCGTTCAAAGTTGTTTGATCTGTTTTCTAAGATGATCAATTCAGTTTTGCCAGTCTCACCATAAATCTGCATGAAGACTTTGGCATTGGTGCCTGCAGCCCGCACATCTCCGGTAACTACAGACACCTCGTAGTTTATCACTAGTCCAAAAATAAAGAAATTAAATCAGCAGAGAAGCTCAGATAACAACATTCCCGAGGGCTCAGGTTCAAAATTAGATTACCTTGTCTTAACAAATGACCACGTAGCCGACCATTTGCTCTTATCCAAACCAAATGTGAGATAACACAGCTCTTCACTGAGGACTAACCTAATAGTTTTCCCTTTTACAGGTATAGAGCCAGTGTCAGAGGGGTGCAAAATAGAGCCTTAGATGGGAATTTCATTTCAGTATTAACTATAGAGCGGTTAAATGATCATCTTAATATAATACAAGGGAGGGAGTTACACAGAGCAGAGGGAAAACACATCTTTTCTCAGGATCCCAACGCAAATTTTAACCATAGCCTTAAAAGAAAACAAATCTACTGATAAAAGTCAAATAGACAGCAGGGATTTGGTCCTTATTTATCAAACAGCCTCTCTCTTCCAGCCAATGGGGTAATACAAGGAGGACGGGACGTGTGCTTGTGCAGGACTGGAGCAGGTAAATGTGAAAAAAAGAGGAACCCACTGATACTGTAATGAAGAAGCACAGCACCTTGTGCTGTGTTACACTGCCCAGGACATAAATTTCTCATACGATCTCAGGAAATTCAGATGGAAAACTCAATGATGTTTTTCCAGCTGTTTTAGAAAATACAGAGAGCAGAATAATTTATTTTCCTCACCAGCATAACCTCTTTGGGACAGGAACTTTTTGGTTTTGGTGTCTAACACAGTGGTATCCTGGTCCTTTAGGAATGCTAGTAATACAAATTTAGTCCTAGCTATAAAAAAAAGCACACATTTCTCAATGTGTTTTATCTCACATTTCTCAATAGGCACAATCTCACTTGGGTAGACCTCCACCTCCACCCTGCCATCAGCCTCATCTTTGTCGAGCCATCGGTTGCAGGGGAACATGTACTGCCTTCCCTGGACTGGAACTGTGATCTGGACACTGGCCAGGAACCAGCCAGACCGGAGACCCACGTTATCGTGTCCGATCAGTATTCGGTTGATCTTTAAAAAAGTTAAAAAAAAAAAAAAAAAAAAAAAGAGGGGAGAAAAAACCCCAACACAACAGCATTTATTTAATATATTAAAATCTCCTTCCCCTGACACCCTGTTCTTACACCATGTTTGTGTAAATCATTTATATATGTATTAACTATAAACTTAAAACACACTCTTCACACACCAGCATGTATGCTAGACTGCCCATGTAATAGTCTATACAAAATATATTTCTTAATCTCCAATGCAAAAGGTCAGAGATTCTTACATCACATTCAATCTTTAGCTAGATATTGATTCTGAATTCAGCCGCTGCACGAAGCACAGAGCCACCTGCAATCAATTCTTACCTTCCCAATATCCATCGTATCTAGAGTAAACTCATCCACTCGACCACGTTCAAAATAATTGCCTAGATCATTATCAGAGACTAAGAGAGGCTCTTTGCTGGAGTCTACTTTTTCACCGTAGAGTTTGATGAAAACTTTGGAGTCTGAGCTGGCACCTGGGATATCTCCTGTCTTCACACTGATGTGATAACTGACATCTAAAGTGAGATCAATGTACAAAATACAGACACGTGAGTGGCATTTCCAGTGCCAGGAAACTGGCTTCAAACAGACACAGGGGGTTCCGGCTACAGAGAAAGGGCTTTGCTCCTCCATTCATGCATCCAGCATCTTAGGGCCACGCTGGATAAGCTGTCACACCTTGGATTTATTCACCAAAACATAAGAGATGCAACAGTTACACTAATAAGCAGAAAATATTCTGTACTCCTCCCTCTCACTGTTAGATGATTACCAAGCCATAAAAATGAGCCTGGGCAAGTGAGGTGATTTCGCTTTTTTATACTTATAGTTTAATTCAATAGCTTTGACATTTTTCCTAAAACAAAACAAAAAGCATCTCAACCTGAGCTCTGTAAGCATTGTTTTCTAAAGAAAATTGTAGTATTGGAGCCCTGGCTCTCCAGAAAAGGACAATGTAATCTTTTTGGTGATTTTCTTCTGGGAATACAATGTTATTGAATGGAATTTACTCTACTAAAGCAGTGGCAATTCAAGATACTTCAAAGAAAGCTATACTAGAAAGCAATTCTTACACAAATCACAACATTAAAAATCAAAGTCTCTTTCTACATATATAACATTCCAATTATTCTCTTTTATGCAAATTAATCCCATTCATAAACTAGGATTTAAGGGTCAGAGGCATTTCCCCCCGAGTGACCCACTGCAGCTTCTTGCATAAGAATAGCAAAAAAAAAAAACCCAGTAGGTTTACTGTGAGCTGACATGAATCATTAAGTAGAATAAAGCAAGTAAATACGTGCATACACAACTCAAACCCAGACCTTCTTTTTTCCAAGCTAAACTCACTTTTTAGCATTGGTGACTCCCCAGCGGGCACTAATTCTCGGACAATCTGACCATCATCCTCATTCTTGTCAAGCCATCTGGTTTACAAACAGAAGTAAGTTATCTTTGAGTAATTAGGACCTATTAGACCTTTCAAAATCTAGGCTGGCTCCACACATAGTAAAAATCCACACCATAGTCAAAAAGCTATTTTTGCAGGGCTCTGCACCTCTGTTAACTTTGCAGGAATTTGACCAGACCCTACGGCAGTCACGCTTTAAACCTCCATTCTTCCAAGAAGAGAGATCATGACGGCCCTGCTCACAGTAGATAAGCATCTGCTGTGATGTGCATCTGTCTGGAAAGCACAAACTCCATAGCCACAAGTTATTCCTGTAAATGGGCAGTCTCAGTCTCTTGAAAGCATTGACCTTCATTGACCAGAAATACTTGCAGCCTTTAGTACTAGCTGCCTTGATTACATAGCATTTGAGTTACTAAACCCCCTTCTTTTTCAGTGTTTGCTCACTCTAGTTTATCATCATCATTTTTCCCTTCCTTACAGATAAGCATATAACCCTTTTTTCTCCACCAGGAAGGGGCTGAATTCTGTTGTTCCCATTTTCAGGGCTGGGTACGTGGAGGCAGCTCACACCAGCAAAGGGAAGGATTTTCCTTGTTTCTCAACATTAATCTAATGACCCAACTAGACTAATGAAGAAGAGCCAGGCACAAAGCAGAATGTAACATGATCTCAAGGGGAAAAAAAAAAATGAAAGGAAAATGGAGGGGAACCAATTGCTAATCTGGGAACCTTCACAGCTGCTCCTTGAGCCTCAGGGTTGAAAGAATTACATCCCCAAACTCATGATACCGATCCTGCAATGTCACTGTGCCATGTGTGTTCTCCTTGGGTGACCCTCACACCCAAAAGGAGGAGAACTTACTTCCCAGTTAAGTTTCCACTTTTGATTTTGCTGATGAGCCAGCACATGAGGAAACCAGCAAACAACCCTCATAACAGGGATCTGGGGACACGAACAAATGCCCACCGAGAGCTGGATCAAACCTATAGTAACTCACTGGTAATAAGCCAGCACAGCTTACTGTCATGACTAGTTGGACTCGCCATGGTGACCAAGAAGTAACCAAACATTTTGGAAGACCAAGGATGATAGGTCTCCATTTCATCTATCTGAAGGAAGGTTATCTTTTTAGTCTCTTCTCCCTTCCCAGTTGCAAGAAAACAATAAGCACCAAGAAACCATGCAGAAAACCAGCACTGGGAGAGAAATCCAAACACGAGCTAAAGCCAGCCGGTCCAGAAGCGCTAGCAGCAAAGTCCCCATGCAAAAGTGGTGCATACAGCCCCACCACAGACACACACCTCCACTCCCAGCTCCCCTCTAAGCTTCGGTGGGTTGTCAGGTATGCAGTCTACCCCGTATTCTTCCCTTTCAACTCTGTAAAGCAGGTGGCCATGTGCAGGTGGCTTGAAAAGGACTAAAAGCTAAGGGAGTCAGCATGAAGGTGATGAACATGTGAACGTGTGGTGATCACACGAACACCATGTGAGGGCATCGGGTGAGGTGGTGTGCCTCAATGGAGGCTGAGAGTTGTAGTGGGGATAGAGGAGCAGAAAAATCTGTAGGAAAGACCGTGAAATTGATGTCAAGAACTAAGCAGGGTTGGAGTGCAAGGAAGGCAGAAGAGGAGCATGCCAGGACATCACGTTGTCTTAAGAAAGGAAGCCTTTATTGATGTTCTGGGGTTGGGGGATTTTTTTTACCTGTTAGAACTGGTCCTTAATATCTCTGTATCATGCAGTTCTTGATGCTGGCTCAGGATTCACATCCTTGGACAGGTATCCAATGGCTAGGGGATCACATCATCCCAAAAGTCAAGATGCTTCTGCATACATGGATGTTAACTGGTAGGACCTACAAAATTCGAGCCTGGACTCCACCACATCAGGACCACTGAATTCAGCATGGTGTTCAGGAAGGCAGAAGCTCACAAAGTAGACACACTTCTGCTCTCCTGGTGCTGGTTTTTGTGTCCTGCAAGCTGCTGTTTATGCTGCCAGTGTACACGCTGTTGTTTTCTGTCACCTTCACCATTGCTGATGTTTTAGGGAATCGTGGGATGAATCTGGGTGAACCACTTCTGCGCCAAGGTGGCAAGGATGAAAATACATCCCACAAGAAACAGATCTCTGTGCAGTATGGAAAATGTTAACTGCTTCAGCAGTGAGGATGGACAAGAAAAATTAATCCAAAAAGGAGGACACACCCCTAAATAAAGAAATTCCCTCTACCAATGTTGGTAGCTACTGATGGCAACAGGAGTATGTCTTGGGCTGGAAGAGGAAGAGAGAGGTTTATCAGCAGAAGTGGATTAAAGCTCCTTACTTTGTTTCAGCCAAGAGAATAGCCAGAAGTGGCAGAAGCACTATTTTCTCAAGAAGATGACTTTAACTAGTGACAGAGGAAGTATTTGGATGAGCAATGCCATTGTGTTCCTTCCCTTCAGCACATATGCTGCAATATCCTAATTTTACTTCGATGTAATTCCAATAGTGTATCGCTGAGCAGCAGATTGCAACCAGGGGTTTATAGTCTTACGCTAAACACAAATGGATTGGCACATTATAAACACATCAGGCTGCAGAAAATGGAATTTTTCAGTGTAGTGCCATCACATTCTTAGTAGAAAAGACCTGTCAAAAACTTTTATTTTACCAGAGCTTCCATACAATTCACATGCTACTGTGGGTTTTGCAAGGGTGTAGTTGTCTCCTGTATCATATACCTAGTTCTAAAGAGATATTGTATGTCTGATAACCCAAGGCAGACATGAAAGCCACTTTAGAGAGAATTTCTAGAGGATCAGAGAGTCAGGGAAGCACTGGAAAAAAATGTGGCATGACATCATATATAGCATTTGAAATCCAGTAGATGATAGCCTGCATGCAATTAGAATGACTAGCACATCCATTCGATTCAGTATGTATTTGTGTGTGTCTTTAAATATAAACTATGTATAAAAATATGTGTAAAATAGATAGACATTTCAGTCTATTTTTAGGCAACAAAAGGAAGTTTCTCTGGATCTTTTGTATGATGAACACTTTTGGCATTTGGCTGAATAAATGTTCTTTCACAGGAACCTCCTAGTGCATCATCCCATTCACGGTCTGTCTGTTGTTCTGCGAATTAACGATGTTCCCTTACACTTGTGCTGGAGAAAAATTAGGATGGTGCAGTCCATATGGTTAGAAAAAAATGTAATAAAGTATCATTGAAGATTTCAGTGGAGCTGTAATGACTTATAGCATATAAAATTCTATCCTATCATGAACTCATGACTTTGCCTGATTGAAAATTCATTTCTGTCTGGGATATAAATATTATGAAAAATAGGCTATTCTAGAGGATGTCAGCTAGTCCATTCCTGGACTTCCAAAGAGCCTTGAGGAGAAAATGAAATCTGAAGAACTCAGTTCTGAGCTTCAAAAAGGTTTGGCTCCAGTTCTGGGGCAAAAGGTGAACTCCTTCATTTTGAACTTCCTAGTGATATTCATAATCACAATACCTGAATCACATCAGGTATTATAAGGTATAAATTGTTCAGCTGTGCCACTGAATGATTCAGCGTTCGGTCCCTAAAAGCATGGATATTATGATGTCATGTGGTCATAAGGGAGAAATAATACTGCAATGCATACAAGTGATGTACTAGTAATTCTGCAGATAACGCTTGGGAAGTTACTTGCATTTACCTCTTGCAAGCATAGATCAAATGACCACTTTAAAAATCATTGAATCTAAGAGCTACAAGCCATTCCCTTTACAGCCAACTGTTCTAAGAGTTGAAAGCACAGGCCTGGGAGTCATTATTTCTCAATGCTCTTCCTGAATCTGACACAAACTCACAATTAATCCACTTAGCTTCTCTTTATCTCTGCTGGCTCCCTTGTACAACAAAGACAGTTCTTCTCATAGAGGTCTTGTGACTATTAGGTAATAGATGTTCCTATAGAGTCATAAAAAACCTTTCAAATTAACAGGCAAAACATAGCTGTGTATATGAATATGTAAATAACAAGAACAGAGACTTCAACAAGTTATATGCAATGAAGATCTAGAAGGATATCCTACAGACATTAGTTATAGCAAAAGCTGGTTAGCCAGCTCTTTGCTATCGTATCTGCTCTCCACATGCTGGTACACCCTAGTTTTTACAGAGGTTAAGAAGCCTCTGAAGCTTCCAGCACGGGTGAGATGTGTTTCTGCTGGAAGGCATTTCGTCCTCTAGCTGTCTCACAGCAGCAGCTTAGCAGCAGAAAGTCAATGGAGTATCTTTCAATAAGGACACAGCAGCAGCAGTTGTTTTCTCCAGACCATGCAATTGTGCTGTATAGAAGAGTGGAAGTTAATCAGGTCTTGGAGAAGAAGGCAATGAGAACATCAGCATGTCCACTGGCTGGCCACAGACTGGCCAAGCAGAAACAGAAGCTTCCCTGGTGTCCCCCGGACGGAATCTTTAACCAACCTCCCTTGCATTGGCTCACTAAAAGAAGGCTGCTCTTCTTGGCCAAGTCATCTTCACATCTTGGCTCTGAAGAAGCAGGTGAAGCAGGCCTCTCTGAGCACCTGCCCAAGCAGTGAGGACATAAGCTGTCCTTGGCCTACAGGACTGGAGGGGAACATCCAAACGCTGCAGGTCATGGAGACATTTATCCCTCACATGGAGGATGCAGTGGGTGAGCACCTTCGCCCTCAGATATCTCCAGACTCCATGACGACACCCGTATACTGCGATGATGCCCCAGTCTCTCAGGAGACACAGGCACCAAAGATAGTGAGAGGGAGCAGCCGTCCCTGTGTTTGGAGGTGATCAGTCATGTTACCGACTCCATCTGAGAGGAAGAGATAATGCTGGCACAAGGACAGCAAACAAAGCTGCACGAGCAACACTGATATCACTTGGAAAAAGAGACATTAAGAAAGGCAAGAAGAGTGGAATTCCATCACTTGTGACTTGAAGCCTGAATGCACGCCATTAATATTTTGGTGATAAGGTCTTGGCGTTTTTTTCTCTCTCTTTTCAGTCCCTGGCCTGAGGGGAATGCCCCATGGACTCTGGTGCTTCTGACCCACAGGTGTAAACTTCAGGGGAAGAGGGTCATCACTCCAAGCTGAGGAAAGACACCCAGTTATACAGTCCAGTAAGGAGACAATTCAAAAGGAAATCTTTGAAATGAGCCAGCTGCACAGTGTGGTTAGACACAGAAATATCTCTGAGGAGTCTGAGCGAAACAGCTCTTCATGTGGACACTTCATGTCCAAGTAAAAACCTGTCTCGCTTGCCTGCTTAACTCAGTAAAACATATGGTTGTTAAATATGTATCAAAAGGCAGGAATGACAACATGGTGGTTTGTTCTTTGAAAAGGGAGAGACTGGCTTGCTTTTCACATCCAAGATGACATTGCATCTGCTGCTCCGTGCTGTCTCCCCGGTGAGTTTGCTCTCTGATGTGACGGGGCTTTAGTGATGCAGAGAGGCTGGGGCTGGCTCCTGTTTTGTATTTGGCTGACTCCCCTCATTATAGTGGAGTTCTTCCTGATTTACAGTGACAAGAGACAAGTAACCAGCTTAGTGGGTTTACCTTTGTTTGCAATTTAAAAAATAATTGTGTTTGTGTTTTACAATTCCACTCGTCCCCCAGGAAATGCCTTTTTAGAGCGGGTACTTGATGTTGTTAAGTGGAGCTCAGTGGACTTCCACCTTACAGGGTGAACATGCTAGGAGGGCAAGTGGGACTTTACAGGACACTGAACTATACTGAAGCTCTAGTCTCTTATGTTTTCACCCAATTCCCTCTGGTTTGTGCTGCGATGTTGAGGAACACCCTAATTAGTGCCAGGACAGATGGTGCATCTCGTTCCCGCCTCAGTACAGCACATTTCTTTTGGCCACTTGATTGTCTAGGAAAGAGAAGAATACATTTATAACCCACCCATAGGGGTAAGTTACAGCCCTCTGCTCTACCACTATCTCTGTCTGCACGATATGCATTTCCCTTCATGCAAGGAGCTCTCAAGATGGCAGCATAACAATTTTGCATTCTCCCAACACAAAAATAGCATCCCATTGCTCCTGGAAAGATGGGATGTGCATGTAAGAGACCAGAACTTTGTCCCACACATGCAATCAAACTAGCAGATTGCAGCAGATTGCAGAGCGTGTTTCTGCAGCAGGCAATTGCAGTGACACTGGATGTGGTACTGGAAGGTTGCATTTTACCTTTTGGAAATTCTCTGTATTACTGAGCTAATTGCCGAGAAGTTCACAATTCAGATCGCTGTTCATTTGGTAAGGAGAGTTAACTGTACCTTAAACCTCCCAATCCACACTCTTTGCTTTCAGGCTTAGTAAAAATAAGTGAATGGATAAATAAAAATGATTAAGCTGTGCTCAGAAAATTCCAGTCTTGGAACAACAGCTAGGCTCTTCAAAGTCTGGCAAACGCATAGATGGAGGCATAGTTTGCAAGCATTGTTTCCAGTACCTGTAGCAGGGGAATTCCACAGCCTCACTTTCTGGCTGTCCTTCTTCCCTCACTATCACTTTGGCAAGGTACCAGCCACTGCTTCCTCCTTTGCCATCATGCCCTATCCTCACCCTCCTCACCTGCTTCAGCGTTACCGCTTCAACGAAGAATTCATCAGCCTTTGAGAAGGAGAAGAAAAAAGGTAAGGCAATATTTCTCCTTAAAAACAAACAAACAAACCAAATTTATTATTGCAATGAAACAAACATCAGCAGCATGCTGCAAGATAATTCTTCACAAGATGAAGGAGAAAGTATGAATTAATTTACCAAAGAATGAAAGCTTGAACATTTGTGCTAGATGTATAACATTAGATTTACAAAAATATGATCTGCCAGCATTTTAAATCTCCCACGTCATTGCATGCCCTCCACAACTGTAAAAAAAGAAAAGTAATGTGACTATTAAGAAGTTCATACAGCGAGGCAGGAAATCCAAGTTCAAACCCCTGCTCAGATATCAGCTTTCTGGGAAACCCAGAGCAGGTCACTTCAGCCCAAATCCACAGAGGTATGCAGAGGTACAGTTCAAAGACATTTACCCCACATTCAATTCAGACAACATGGACTACTGAGCACAATTTAACCCCAGCCATTTCCTGGCATGCAAGTGTCAGGCTTGGCTGCACAGGGGTATTTTGAGCTGCCCTGTGAGTCGTCTTCAGAGGTTGGTGTGAACCTAACCTAGCAGCTAAATACCCTTAATACCCCACAAGAGACATGAATTTTGTGTCTTTCCCCCACCCCAGAAAAGGGCTCAAATCACCAACCTACAGATTAGCCTAAGTGATGGCCCCTCAGGACCAGAGCTTGTTACCCAAGATCATACTGGGAGCAGCAGTTCCCAATGACTGAAGGAAGAGAGATGTATTAAAAAAGCGAGTTCCTCCTGTGGGAATCAGGCCAGACAAGTATCTATGGTACATGTACAGATGCACACACATGTATGGTAAATACCTGTGTAAATACACAGCGTATCTGAAGCATACGGACCAGCAAACAGACACAACTGCTGTGGTTACCATCTGGCTGAGATGCCTCATTAGGTAAAAGAAAGCTAACCAAACACTGCGATTCATTCATTCTTCATCTCCCAAAAGCCCGTGAAGCGCCTACGGTCGTAGCATATATCCAGCTAGCTCCCAGAAAGCGTGGTGGCAAGGCAATATTTATTTAAATACTTAAATTCATTAAAAGAATCATAATTTTTTCCATCATTCAGGACTCCAAACTGACCTTTAAAATAAAGACAACTAAACATACTATCACTGGTTTAAGTGTTAATGATGGGTTTACATGCATGAATAAGTGTTACTTGCATACTCAAAACTGCTGAATTGGGGATTTGAAGTATCAAAACCTCACTGAGTCAGTCTAAGTCAATGAAGTCTAATTCATTAGGCCTGATGTTCATCGTACTTATTAACGGCTGATATAAATTAACGAGTAAGTAACTAAATGGAAATGCAGCAGAGCAAACACCTAATTTAGAGGCATCTTTAAATTTTACCTCCTATACAGGCTGTTAGTTTGCATCTGCAAGCAAACTTTTCAAGTTAAATGGGTAATCAAGGTACTATCAGTTTAAGTGGCTGTAGATTACAGACCGCACCGACTTAGCTACATTTCTTTTTAACAGGGTATCTGAGTTAATCAGTGTAGATATATTCATTCAGTCTCTTGAATATATGAGCTCTAAGTTTGTCAGGATCAATCCTTAAACAGCTTCCAATTCATTCACCAGCTTTCCGTTCCTCATGCCAAGAGAGCGGTTTTCCGTTAACAGATTCCAGTTTGGCTTATATCATCTGGATACTATTAATCACATGAATTGATTTCCACAATTATTTTTCCTTTTTTTTGTTCTCCCTTTCATGCAAGTTACCCTATAACTCATTTTTGGCAGTAAAAATAAACTAGTCATCATCTGTGTTTAAAATATTTGTATCTTCTGTGAACCAAGCATCTTTCTTTGGAACACCACTGAAAGAGTCTTCAAACAACCATCAAAACATGACTCATTTTGCTACCATTTTGACAAAACTAGACTACGCCAAATGACAAAATGCTGTCCTTTACAGCTTGGACCTACCTTTTAAAAATAAAATCTATAATGTAAGTGCATAGGCAAAAATACGATGTTTGCAATGTCCATGTCTGCAAACCTTTATATCATTTAGAAGCAGAACAAACTTTCACCCTATGTAAATGCCACGTGTTTCCATGGACAGGTCTTCCAGGCACAAGAAAACCTTGATGAAAGTTCTTTTAAAGTCTAAAAAACTCAGTGATTTCAGTGAAGAATTGGAAATTCTGGACATTCAAAGGCAAATCCAATGTGTTAATGCATATTTCAGAAGCCTAAATTCAGTGGTCAGTTTTGAAAACTTGACCTCCTTTTATCCTCATTTTCTTTCCATTCCAAATCTTCAGTTGAACAATGACACAAAAGATGGAAAATCTGTGGAGTTCTGTTATTGGATTCTCAAAAGCTTCTCCAGGAGATACTGATTACATTTTACCAGTCTAAGTTGGACCCTAGAGATCCAAAATATGCCTCATAATTGAATACATATTAAGTATGTTGACCCCATGGATCAGATCAGCACACTATTTCCTTGTTAATGCTGCAAGGGCTTTAACTACAGTTTGACCTCTTCATTGTCTCCAGCTTTCCTGGGAACAAGCTCTGTCTTCAGATCAGGCAATTTCCACCCCCCTCCATTCAGGACACAGGCATAGAAAAACATGCTGAAGATCAGATTGAAAATAAGACACAAAAATTGCGTGCAGCATGGTTGAGGGGAGACTGGAGGAAATATAAAGGAAACATTAGGCTTTCGGTTCTGATTTTCACATTAAGAAAGATGCTTTTTCTTCCTTTGCCCTGGGAGCCAAATTTTTGCCATATTAGATAGAGGGGAAAAGGCTCCCTCTTGTTCTTGGAAGATGGACAGATTTCCTGGAAGCCTTCCTCAGTCTGAAGATGCAATTTCAACAGTCAGTACTTAGCTGGGGACTAACCAGGAGACTCTTTTATGAACATAGAGATGTCAAGCAAGGGCATGCTGTCCTTGACCTAAACCTCCCTCCAACTGCAACCTGTTACAATGTTCTGTGGACATGATTTCTTTCTCCCTGCTGCCCTAGCCCAAACTGGCAAGGAAATCAGACGAGTTTACAAATACACTTCTCACAAAAAAAAAAAAAAAAAAAAAAAAAAAATCTACAAACGGCCACACACTTTAAAACCCATCTTAAGGAGCTGCTGTGTGAACTTACGTTGCCTTTTTCAAATTTATTGACAGTGTTGATGCAGTTGTAGAGAACTCGCTCTCCCGTGTCTCCCTGGTCACCGATGAGGCAGACAAAGACATTGGCATCGGTGCCGCTCCCACTTACCATCCCAGTGCAAACTGTCACCCGGTATTTTATCACTGTGGAGACATAAATTAATAAAACAATTTCAGCAACACTATTAATTGCCATTTAAATTTACTGCACTTTCCACAGACTTGCAATTAATTTTAAGTGTTCATACTTCCAGTTGGTACTTCTGCTGATGTATTGACTTTTACACTTCCAAGTTACCACTGGGAAAAGAAAAAAAGCCAAAATGGGAAGGCCTGAAATGTTAAGAAAATCCATAAAACCCCTCCAAAGGAGGACAGAAAAATGCTGCCTCCTTCAGGTAAAACCTCACAAATTGGAGTGCATAGCCTCCTTGGGACCCCAGCCCTCCTACCTCCCCTCCTGCCTTCCTGAGAGGGTCCTGGTGATGGGGGACCTTGTAACAGCGTGTTTGGGGAAAACATTGTTGTTAGCATCCAGGGCACGGCAGGCAGACAAAAAGAGTTCAAAAGGGCTGAGCGCTCAAGGACCTGAGGAACGGGCTCTTCATGTTGGCTTTATGGGCCAGGAAAAGCCCAGTTGGCCCCATCTCCTTGGGACCCTCATAGTGCAGGAGGTTGGGTTGTGTCTTGCCTCCTTGTCACCTTTGAGATCTTTATTTAGGGCTTTGCTGGATGGATTCTGAGCTGCCACCTTCCTCCCCCCCACCCTGCCCTCATCTCTGCCCTCCCCACCCATTGGGTGAAGGATTTCCAGAAGAAATTTCACAACAAAGAACCAGCCCACAAAACAACCTTTGAGAGAGAGAGAGCTTTTTCTCCAGCATCAGGAAGAGACAAGAAGCAATGCTCCCACCCTCCCTCCAAAACCCTCCTGCAAGCCCAACACGTGAGTGCTGCATCTCACCTCTACTCAGCACAACTGCTCCTCACGGGAAAGTGCCTGCATTTGAACTCAAGCAGCCCTCTCCACAGTTGATTAAAAATACATTTCAAAACCAGGTTTATTTACATTTTAATAATATCTGCAATTACAATTACTCTTCCTCTTCTGAGGGACTGCTCAGCTGCATGCAGATCACTGAGTTCATTGGAAATTTCAGAAAAGAGGGGGCTCATGGTTTACAGAGTGTAGAGCCCCATTGGGTGCTTTGGTGGAAATAAGAGAAATCCCAATGGCCACCTTGAGATAGTCTGCTCTCCAAAATTCTCCCTCCAAGCACATTTCGTTCTTGTGACACAAGGTCAAGACAGAATTGACCGCTTCAGGAAGCCAACACAATGTTCTGCAGCTTTCCTTAATTAAATCTCCAGATTGAGCATAGTTAACCCAATAAATAGTTGAGATTGCTGACACATAGTGAAAGGTGCCTATGCTCTTGCACAACTGTTCTGTGCAGCTTCCTATACATTTACACATATAGCTGCATAACTGTCCGTATAATTAAATAAAACTTTGAAGTCCAAAAATCATTGTTAAATTTTAAGTTGTACTTCAGCTAAGCTTCCTTTCCATGAACATCCCTTCAAACCTGGCATTTCACATTTTAAGGGAGACTGGAAAAAATACAGGTTTGAAAAAAAAAAGATATATAACTCTGGAAACAATTGTGCTGTGGCCAGATCTCTCCCATCTCCCACCACAGAGAAATCTGTTCAGAATAAGCGCCTGGGATTTCTGAGGCTTCATGCAGCTAATGATGCACACAGAAAATACTGCAGAGAGAAAGTGCCAGAAAGAGGAGCTAATTGAATTGCATCAGTCTGCCTCTGCATCCCTTACACAAAGAGGGTTTCTATCTATTCAGGTCCTAAGCGAGCCCCTGCACGGAGCCCGTGGCTCTCACCTGGCATGACTTCAGTCACCAGAGATCCCTCCGCAGGGAGCTCCCGCACGATCTCATTGTCGTCTTCATTTATATCTAGCCAGCGGCCACAGTTGAATGAGTATTTTTCTTTTGTCAGCGTTTTCAGCAGAGTTACCTTCATTAAACCAAAACACTGCATGAGTTCAGAGGCTTAAAGACAAAAAAGCAACAAGCTCCTGACAGGTTTTTTGCCTGAGAAGCAAGAGTAGGTAGCAGCAGAGAAATAACACACATTAATAACAAGACCGTCATTCAGATTTGCACACTGCAGCGATGCACAGAGCAAAGTCTGTCACAGCCGATGGCTTTTCATTCCTCCTTTCTCCAGTCACTCCATGGTGTTGTGAAAGTTTTGATGGATACCGTGGCTCTTAGTAATTGTTCGTCTTATGCCACTGTATAAATCCACAGAGCAAATCGTGGATGGTGCTTGCACTGCTGGTCCCTGTGGCTCAAAACCAGTGCATGGCACTGCAAACACCCAGAAAATGGCAACAAGAATGATCAAAGATCTGCAGTAGCTTCCAAAGGAGCCATGAGCAAATAAGGTGGGGCTTTGCAGATGGCTGGAGAAGGGGTGAAGGCAGGGTATGATGAAGGTCTACAAAATCACAGGTGGCGTGGAGAAGGCAGAGGGAGGTCCATTATTCACTCTTCTGCTACAAGAAATACGGGGCATCAAATGATCCTTGTAGAACACAGTTCAAAGCAAACAAAAGGACAAAATTGACTTGTTAAGTCCTTGCCAAACACTATTATGGTTTCTAAAAGTTTAATTGTTTGAGGGGAGACTGGAACTTTTCAACAAATGGAAGAGAAACCTACTAAATGCTTCATATTTAGTAGATCTGTTCAGGAAGCAAGTCTCCAACTGGAAATAGTTGAAAGCTGGAAGAATATTAGGGGGAAGTATCATAAATGTTTTGTCCTTTGCTTACTGTTCTCTAGTCATCCACTTAAGTGACACAGGAGAGAGGATGTTGGACTAGATGGACTTTTGGCCTGACCAGTATGGCTGTTCTTACGTTCTTGTAATAGAAAATGGAAGCCTGCCCCGACATGAAGCAAGCCTGGCATGAAACGTGTGAGGACTGGAACAAAGCATTGTTAAAGCTTCATCTAAGTTCCTAGATGCTAAAATGCATGCACAAGTGATGGGATTCATGTGCCATGAGCCTGATGCATCCAGAAAACGTCAGACTGGCGTATACAGGCAGATTGATTTCATGCATCTTCACCAGATTTGCTTGGACAGTTTGGCCCAAAGTGAATCCTTGACACACTGTCAGATCCCTCTTGTCCTCCCTGAACACAATTTCTGTGCAGGAAAAGAGGATACCCCAGGGAAATGTATAGCTATGGAAGGTGTAAACATTCTTGCTCATCATCTGTGAACAAACAAACAGAGACGATTACAGTGGCCCGAAGTCTGACCAGCATTTTATTTTTGATAAAGACCACAGCCAGACGCCTTCTCCCACCAAATGGTGAACACAGCAGTACCTGATGCCCTCTCCCCACTGGGGAAGTTGTTTGGCTGCATATGCTTTCGCAGCTCCCTGACAATGCAGGAGAGCAGAATGTGTCATTAGAAGCATGCGAGAGAAATATCTAAGCGGTAAATTGTGATTTATCATCACAGTTATTTATGGCTGCGTAGCAAAGTTTATGTTTTGTTAAGTGCAGAAAACGTCTTCAAAGCTCTGTAGGAGTATGGATGAAGCTTAGAGATGAACTTGCTGCCTTGCAGACCCAGGTGAGGGCTGACAGCGCGGTAATCATTGCTGGTAGAACAAAGGACATGTGACTGAGGATCCAGAAGATCACCCTTTTTATTTCCCAAACAGCACAGCACTGCTCTCTCCTGCAAAGTCTACACAGGCTCCTCCAGCCTCCAGGTGTCCACCTCCTGCAATGGGGCTGTCAGCACTTCAGGGCAGTTTATACTCCACCATACAACAGATTTCTACCATAATCAGGTTTTTGTTATGACCAGCCTAAATAGGCCATAGAAGGAGTAGGTTTGCCTCTGAGTAGTAATGATGTCTAAGAGTAGGAAGCTTTCTGAAGACCAAGGAAAACCTCCCACGGCAGCAGTGAGGGGGGACTACAGTGGTCTGACGCTGGAAGGATGGGGAAATGTGATTTTCACCATCAATCTGGGCTGCTGGGAGCTGCCATTTCCCATTGCTCCCATTTTCCATACATAGCTGGGCTGAAATGAGAGGGACAGGAAAGCGAAGGAATTTCCTCCAAAAAGCATGCAATGAATCCTTCTCTCCCCATATATTTTTGCGAATCTATGATGTGCTCTCTTCACATCCCATTTTCATGTAGGATTTCCACTTCCACCCCTTGGCCAGCACCGTCTGTAAAGAGAGGCACCTCTGACCACTGCCCATCAAACTCAGCTGCCAGCTGGGGAATGCAGTGACCCAGGACTGACACTGCACACACCTCTGTGACCAGTCTGGCTTTTCAGGTCTACCTTGCCTTGCCGTCCCCTCACCTTATTCAGATGCCAGCCAGCAAAGGGATTTCTTTTCTCATGCCATATCCGAAGCTTATAAAATGTGCCCAGATCAGGGAGCTCGATCTACAGAGGGGGAAAAAAAAAAATGCATTGTCCATTTCTGTAAGTCAGCAAAGCATGCACACAAAGGACACCTCTGAACATCTTTTAAGAGCCAAATCAGAGGGGAGCCAAAAACTAAAGTTAAAAAAAAAAAAAAAAAAAAAAAAAAGAAAAGTTCTTTAAAAGTAATAAACCCTACTCTGCAAAGACAGCTTGATGCCTCTCTTTTCAGGAGAGGAGAACATGTAATTTGAACCCATACACTTTTGATCATGAGAGCTCCTTGAAACCATTCTTCCCAGCAGGAACTAAGGCCAGTTCTCAAGCTTCAGCTCTTTCTCAAAGGGTCTGCAAAGCACAGCCACGCTTCCTCCAGAAGGCATCTACAGCTGCTGGTGCAAAGCGGGTAAATGTTTTGGCTGCAGCCATGCATTAAAATCCTTTGTTTCTCCATTTTTCTCTCACCAGTCTCCAGTTAACTTTTAAACATATTTGTTCCTAAACAAACATATTTGTTCCTAAACACAAGAAGACCCTCCCCAGCCTCCAAACTCAACATGCTGTTGAGCTCAGCCCCAAACATCCATGGAGGCTCATGTCCAGCATGGCTGAAAAACAGATCACTGAGGAGAGGAAACACCACTGCTAATTCTCCTGTAAATACCTAATAACCACATACGCACTGGGGGAAAGCTAGATAAATTATTAGCTTTAGAGAGGCATGGTCTAAATGGGTAGAGCAGTCTATAACATGAGTGGGGCTGTGCCTGAAGGGGAGACTATCTGCTTCAGGAGCCACAAAGGAGATGTGGCACTTTGTACCACCATGACTTGAAGTCATCACTGCCTGAGCACCCAGGAACACCAGCCTAAGCCCTGCTTGGCAAAGACAAGCCGTATCTATAGGTGGGGAAATCATTTGCCTCACCACCAAACCGAATGACTTCACCTCCACTTCAGAAGGATCTACTGAGGTAAAGATCTCATGCTGCTGATTTTCCGTACAGGGCTGAAGTTAATGCCCTGGAAAACAATACCACACCAAATTTATCACTATCACGAGATTCATACCATGAACTTGTCAGTCTGTCCAGTTTCAAAGTTGTCTGAATTGTTGTCCAGCTTCATCTCATCTGACTTCCCTTTGTCTCCATAAATCTGGAAGAAGATGGTGGCATCTGTCCCTGCATTCTTAATGTCACTTGTCCAGATCCACAGAGACCAAGGGCTTTCTACAAAGAAGGGTTCAAGACATTTTGTTTAGAAACTGATTTTTAAAGGTGTCCTAGTGAAAACATAGTTCTCATTCTTTCCCCTGGGTGGTAGAGAGGACAGGATGGTATGACAGAAAACGAGGGCCTTTTATCCTTTTCTGCACAAACATAATCAGCTGCTACATGATATACAGGAATCAGCTTGCCTGGAAATATAATTCTGTGTTTCCATTCAAAATAAAATGAGAAAAACCATAAATCACCACTTTCCAGGTGAACCATATTCTTTTATGTCACACATTACTAACAGGGTAATCCAGGGATGTGCTCCATCTCTGTAGTTTCAGTGTACTTCTTCAACACCTACAACTCTATCTTCAAAGATCATTTCAAAGCCAGTGAAATACTGTCAGCTTTCTTCTTGTCAATGAGAAAGAGTCTCCAGTTACGTGCGTATGGTGCAATGCAGCTCCAGGTAGTTCCTAAAACTTGCTCCAGATGATCTGCGTCTGGAACAAGGAGGAGTATGGATACAGCCATGTAGCCTTATGGTTGGACTGGATGATCTTAAAGGTCTTTTCCAACCTAAACGATTCTATGATTCTATGATTTCATCCTGAGCTAATGAGTCTTCCTGAGACTGGACCAATTACCCCAAATATGCCTTTTGCAGGATAGACTGGCTTGGAGCCCATTGAGGTATCTCTAGCCAGGCTGCATCGTGTGGGGCAAACATGCTCAGAGCAACATAAAGATATTTTTTTAAAGTCTTTAAATTATTTAAATGCCTAAATCCCACCTGACTTTAGTTAACACTTGTGTTACTCTAAGCGACATGCCCAAAGATCGTGGCAAAGCTACAAAATTTTTCTCTCTCAAGTCTTCATCCAACATTTTAACTATAAAAGCAGTCCACCCGCAGCAGCTTCACATTGGTTTTCGTACCGGAGGATGGTTACACATACAAAGGTGACATTATTTCCTCTAAAGAGCCCCTCATCTGCATTCTTTATTGATAATAACGTGTTTCACTTCTGCAGGTCTTGCAGCACCTACAGGAGACGGCACAGGTTTCTTTCCTGACTCAGACATCAGCTGAATATTTAACAAATCCTGATGAAAGAATTGCTAACCCTTTCAGTATGCCTGAGCCCACATGAGCACGGCTTGACCTTCAGAGCCCAGAATGTAATATAAAAATATGATGACATGCATATAAATTAGATTTTTACTGATCTACTCAGCATTTGACTGTAAAAAAAGAGGTGACAGCTACTCAAAAAAATGAGGGGGAAGAGGGAACTCACTTTTAGAAAAAGTTTTGCCTTTATTATAATCATATGCAAAATGTTGACGGGCACTCCATTCTGAGAAACACCAGCAAGTTTTATCTGAGCAGAAATGAAGCTAAGGCAAGTTTGCGTATGGCATGTGATAAAGCAGCCTGCTCTCCCTGGGGAAAAGTGCAAGGGCCATTCAGACACCAGAGATTTCTCTCATCTGTCTGGTATGGCCTCCCTGACCTCTTGCTGAAGGAAAGGAAGAGTGATGCATGCAGGGAGGGGGAAAGGTGAACTTGTACCAGAATTAAATGCTGATAGAGGGGTGTAGGGAGAAACCACACAGGGAGAAACGTGGGTGAGCTAGGTCTGCAGCTGCCGGAGACGAGCAGGCATTTCCCCAAATACCCATCATCATCCTCCCAAGGCTTGCTGGGCACGTTCCCCTGTTTCCTATCCCTTCACATCAAGGGATCCAGGCAGTTTGGAAATTCTTGGAGCCAGAGCAAATATTCCCCAGGGCACAAACACCGGGGGCAGGGCTAGACCTGACACAACAGTTTCCAGGATAACATTCGAGATAAGGTTGGGGTGGGGGGGGTGGAGGATAAAAAAAGACTGAGAATAAATACAAGCTACACGTCGAGCTGCAATCCGCTGGGGGAACAGCTTGCAAACGCTGCGCAGGGAGCCATTTCACCATGGATACCCAAAGTGAGGTTGAACCAAGCTTTGATCAGCTCTACAGAAAGGGACAGTCCTGTATGCACGGGGAGATAGGCGAGATGACATAATAGGTCTTTTCTAACTCCAAGTCTTACGCTTCTATAATCTGGCAGCTAAAGGTCACAGATTTCTCAAGGCTAATGCTCTCTGTCTATCTCCTGCACTGCGGCAGCAGGGGAATTAGCCTGTCAATAACAATCAGAGCTGATAATAGAGGGTTAAAGGTTGCAGATGCTTTAGTTAAATGGACCGAGTCAGAGGCGCGATGTGGTTATAACGCTGACTAACATTTAGATAAAGCTTATTTAAATGAACTGCTGTTTAAGCAGGAGCCCACCAGAAGCCTTCGGATTAAACTGTATCTATTATCCTAATGAAAACATTCTGCTTACACATACGCACCGGCACAGGCGAGACGGCAGCGAACCGTTTTGCTTGGTGCAAAACCAGCCAGCGAAGGCGGGTGCTGGAGCTGTGTGTGGATGGATGAACGTGCCGGTACGCTGCCCTGCATGACACGGAGCAGCACGTCCCAGCAAACATGTGCCATTGCCTCCCTCTAGAGAAGAGGCTTCAAATGCAGCGCTCGCGTGCCTTGGGAGGCACGTTTGGCAGCTGGACAGGACTAAGCTGCTTTTTCTCTAAGGCCAAGAGCAAAAAAAGTTGAAGTTAGTGGGGAGAGTTTGGGTTTTCTTCCTTTTCCCCCAGGTTTGTCCTTTTATTATATTTAGGTTTTGTTTCCATCTGGAACAGGAAAGCTTTGCTTCTGTAGTGATAAGAAACGTAGCCTGGCTTGTCTGCAAAGGTGAGATGGCAGCTGAGGCAGCCCTAAGCTCAGTAAACCTAGGAAGGCTGCCAGGTCCAATTTCTTCCCTTAAGAAAATAAGTGGAATTCTTCAAAATATTTAAAAAAGCTTCATTTTAAAACTCCCCAACCCAGGATGTTCAAAGCCGAAACTCATGCAGGACTCAATTCACTTGAGCCTCTACTTGACCATGAGTCTACCCATGTCATGTTGCATAGGTGACACACCAGGTGCTGTTACATGAGGGGGGTCACAGGAGGCTACTGGGCACTTGTACCTACTTTTCAGTCTTCTCTGGCGCAGGGACACCATTTCGTAGAGCTCCCGCTCTATGAGACCATCTCCTTCATCTTCATCCAGCCATTTCCCACACGGGAAGGTTTGCTCAATACCAGTGAATGGGCAGTAAACCACCACCTAGGAGAAGAGACTGGGAAGGTGAGTTTGGTTATTCTGTTACTGGCAGCCCACAGGACCTTGGTACTGAAAACTTAAGTAACTGAAGCAAAGACAGAGCTGGAGATCTTGGCCCTGCTTTCAAAATCAGATTTTCTGGACCAACATGAACTGGACTGCTTGCACAATTCCCAATTTGGCGTATAGCTAGGACCCACCTGTCCTGTTATCCCCACTTTCCCAGAAGTACATCAAAATGGGTCAACCAAGAAAAGGTAAAACACCACGAGGGGAAGGGAGCAGGAGCAGGCAGTGTGGTTGCAGGAGTCAGCGTGTGTCAGTGTGCAGCACATGCCCTGCACCACACCAGTGCACAGTAGGGTTTTGCAAGAAACACAAGATACAAAAAGCCTTCAAACACATCCTAAGCTGATTTTGCTTTCCAGGAAAACTGCATTTCCTCCCAGCTTCAGGGTAGGCAGCTGCCTCCCTCTCCACCCTCCCATTAGCTCCTGCTTATCTTGTACACGAACTCACATATTATATTGCTCCACTACCCCCCAGTAACAGCTGTGGCCAGCCACTTTGTTTTTTTTCTGAGCTCCAGAGCAGCATCTAAAAACTTCAGGAAAGTCTGAGTACAGAAGATAACTTTGAAATGCTCAGCACAATCCAAGACTACATTTCCATCCGGCCCCTTGGGCGAACATCTGAAGGTGCTTTTGGCACTGGGCAAACAGTAATCTCTATCTTTGTGACTGCAAAGGGGCAATCAACCCAATTAGCAAGTGAATGACTTATGCATGTAATGTGCCTTTGAGGCAATCAGCTACCACCATGCATTATGTATAATATTGACTTGGTTTACCTGTGATATAGTCATCCAAATAAAAGCAGAATTTTTTTTCTTTAAACCGTATTTGGTTGTTGGGGTCAGGTTATGAATAGGAAACAGGCTGACAGCTGCCTACAGACAAACAACTTAGTCTCACCTTCTCACAAAACCAGCCAGAACTGACGCCGCAATTATCATGCCCAATGGTGACTCTGCTGAGAGGGCTGAGAAGAGCAGCTATCTCCACGTTAAAGAGATCTGTCCTGGCACGCTCAAATTCACCTCCTTCCAAGAAAATCTTCCCACTGTTCTTTAAGCCTTTGGAGCCATGCAGGATTACGTGGATCTTGGAGTTTGTGCCAGCTCCTCTGATATCTCCTGTCACTACAGCAACGTTGTACACAATACCTGAAGGAAACAGGAATTCAGTTAGAAAGAAAGGAAGGGAGGAAAAAAGGCTGAGAGTAATAATTTTTGATTGGATTTACATTGGGCTTTACTGGTTTCCCACTCGTCTTTTTAGCTTTCGAATTACACACAGTGCAACGCTTCATTTGTTTTCATTCCACGCATACTCACAGCTACCTTCAGACTGTCTAAGAGAAACAGATTTGCGGCAACAAATTCGCTCAAAAAAAGTATGGGGCTTTTTATCACCATGTGGTGATGATTAGGTGAAGAAAGGCAAAAAATTGAATTGGCAACTAAGTCAGTCGCTTGAATTTGAGAGGTACTAAGCAGCAGACACAGCAGAGGATGCTTAGAGGATGGAGGGGTGTTGCTTTAAACAGTGGTGGTGAGATCTGCAGCATGACAAAACTCTGAAAATATGGGGCCAGCAGCCTCCGATGCCACTGAAGACCCTCACTGCCACTCTGAGAGCCTAAAGATCTCAGCAAAGCAAGGCTTGGGAGCAGTATTAGCCCAGCTAGAAGAAAGAAAAGTATTTCTGAAAAGAAGTCTATATACATCAAAGCTCACCTGTTTTCTTCTAGCTCTAAATGTTGGTCTAAGAAAGATAACACTTCTTCCTACAAGCCTTACTTCTCAGTAGGCTCATTGACGGGCATATCTTGGGGCTGTGTCACGGCATCAAATAAGGAGACACCTCTGTAACTATAACAGTGTTTTAGGGAGCATGTATAAAACAGCTGAGGTGCAAGCTAAGCTCTTCCTTTACTTAAATCACCCAGAAATTTCAATAGGGATGAAGTAGAAACATCAGAACCCACTCTCCTATAAACAATCCTCTCTTTCTTTAAAGTTTACATTAAAAATTGTACTCAGGCATGTTTTCTTGTGTGTATGGAATATCTTCAACAAAACGCATGAAAGCAGGAGAAAATGCACAGTCATGAATAGTAAAAGAATAAGAGAAGCTTTGAGTAAATTAATTACTTTTTTTTAGATTTTTTTCTCCTGATTTTTCCCATCCTGCAGTCAGGACACTGCACCCAGACCACTTTACCTGCACGCATGCCGGGAGGAGTATGAGCACTGCAGATGTTGAAAACCATGCAATAAAGGAAAGAACAGCTGTTATGTGCATAGTCAAAGTGCTTACCTTTATGCTAATGAATAAATACAGGCAGAATGCTATCCAAATCATCTTCTGCCTCGTAGTAATTTGTTTTATTGACTTTACATCCAGGTTTCTTTTAACAGAGACATAACTTTTGGTTGTCTCTCCTCTAACCATGTTTGATAATAAAAAAGCCAGTTTTAAGGCTCAGCACTGCCTTTCTTGTTTTGTAAAAGGATGCATAATTCCCCAGTACAATATGCACTACTGCGTGGCACGTTGGTGACTGTGGAAATACTCATCTACTTTCTGAAGGCTGGTGAGCAACTTGCTGAAGTACAAGCCAGATCTTTCATCTTTTGCCCAACAGCCCCATATCTAGGTGCATCAGGCGATAAATCAGCATGTAGGTCCTGCACGGCTTCACCAGTGAGATGTGGAGGTGGGAAATGTGATGGTAGTCCAGGGACCCTCAGACAAAACTGCCTGTCACCAGCAGACGGTCCGCTGCAGGTCTCCCTGAGCACAAGGCATTCAATCTTCTAAAAAAACCATGGCCAGTAGTATTAATTAGGCCTTTGTATCTTTGCATTTCCCACCATGGATTCAGCCCATGACTTTACCTGTGGCTTCGGTGCCCCCAACAAGTACGTCCCTCTGGATTTTTCCATCATCTTCATCTAAAGCAAACCAGCGGCCAACCGGGAATTGGTACACACATTTATTGCCAATGTCTTCAATAATGACCTGAGAGAAAGGAAACAGCACCTTGCAAAATACATGTGGAAAAAACAAAGGTGTTACACGAGGGGGTGACAGAAGGGAAGAAGCTTAATGTACACACTTTCACCTGATATTTAATATATTCAATACTCAAGCAGATCCCTCTCCGCACCCTAATTAGTACTGATAGAATTTCAGACAATCAGTGAGTAAAAACCAGGCTTCTTTTTTTTCTTTTTTTATCCCGTGAACTCAATCTGCATCTCGCGCAGTGTATGAGACCAGATGTCTCTGCTAGCAAGACCAGCTGGCTGGCCTGTCTTCCTTCCCTCCAGAGCCCGTTTGCTGGCTACTCTTCTCCATCAGCTGAATGGCAGCTCTTTGTTCTGCTTTGGGAACAGGCTGTCTTCTTTCTCACTCAGTTTTAGAGCCTTGTTCTAAAATAATACCAAGGAATTTTAGGACAAGTCAAGACTGTCGGGTCAGTTTGTGTGACCTAGTAATATCGTGTTAACTCTCCTCAGTTACTCCAGGATGGAACCATTGCAAAAACAGCCATGAAACCCTGTGGTAGGAATAGTTTCTAATTTAGAAGGATTTGGCTCTTGGCCCTACTCTAGAGACATATTCCTCTGACACAAGCCAGGGAACAGTCTTCACCTTTAAGCCGGTGTTACCCACTTGAAGTTTCTTGCACCTCCTGCTGAGGCATTTCTTACCAACATCTTCTTCTGGGTTCCTGAAGCTTGCCATAGAGTGACTGCAGTATTTTAAACAAGCGGTGAAGAGTACTGAAGATTTTCAGCCAGAAAAGAAGAAATCAAAATCTCTACTTTCCTGCATGGCTTATATCTCAGAGAAAGAAAATTCACTATTAGGGATAGAAAGTCATTGTCACTTTTCTCTGCCTTCACAGCAAACAGGGAGAATCTGAAATCTGTCCTTTCTGACAGATTTGTGAAACCATTCTTTGGGAACCAGAGCTTCCCCTCCTGTCACTCCTTCCACAATCTGCTGTTGCCTGTAGCATTACCAATTCTCACTGTACCTCGGTAAACATGGACAGAAGTGTCTGCCAGGGCTGGGATTGTCAGCATGAGACAGCAGTGTTGTGCTGGAGTGTTAGAGACTAAAATATATGAAGTTCAGAAGAAATATCAACACTCAGATTCCCCTCTACCTGCTGATCCTCTGGGTTCTTGTTAATATCTTTATTCATATGTTTAGAGGTAGAAAACCAGCTCTGAGTGTAAGCCACATGGAAAACCCAGGACACCTGAGAAGAACTTCTGATGATGTTTAGCAAGTTCATCCAGGAGTGAGCTAGAGTCCCCAAATATTGGAGCACATTAGAGAAAAACATCTACCAACAGTAGAAGATAACTGGGCTATGTTTTAGCTCACTCCTCCAAGCTTCCAGCTGAACTGGCAAGGCAAAAGTTGCCTTTTACTTAATCACAAACATCTCAGTGGTTCCTGTGGCAGAATATAGGATTAATGTGTTGGCTGCAACTAGTCGCTGCTTCAGGCTTTGGGACTTAGGCAACCTAACCAACATCAAAAATTATGTCATGTAGACTGCATCTGTAATGTGAAGGTGAGGTTCCTTTTCCATGGGTTTTCCCCCCTATTTATAACAGGGAGCACAACAGCTCTGGTTTTCATCTTCTGCATTTTTCATGGACAACCAACATAATAACTTTTAGTGCAGCGTATGGTGACGGTGGAAAAGCATGTGCTAATATTTGCATTTGTAATGCATCAAACCACCCTGTTATCTAGCATTTACAAATTTGGGGTCAGATCTTCAGTGGATTAAAGCCAGCTGTGTTAAACTACACCAGCAGAGGAAAGAAAATGAGATTAGAGGAAAGAGTCATAGATTTCTCCTTTTAAAGTACTCTTTCAACCATTTCACTAAAAGCTGCAATACCTTCACACCTTAGAGCAGGAGATTAAAATGAGGAGGAAAGTGGGAGTGGAAGAAAAGGATCTTTGTGGCAGGTATATCTTTTTTGCTGTGCCAACAATAAATCACTTAAATTTGGCCAAGCTACAAGTCTTTGCAAATTTCCAGCGTAAACAGATGCAACAGATATTTCTTAAGACTCTGGTATCTTTACTGTCTTGGTAATGAGTTAAGTCAACAGAGTGGGGGGGGGCTTGGAGGACCCGGCTTGGAGAATTCCCTCTCATCTGTCAAAGAAACTGCAGTGACTGAGACAGAAGAAATATTATTAGAGCACACAAATTCAAGTCTTAACAATCGGATTTTCTCACTGCCATAAAGTCGCCTGAGATGCTCAACAATTTACCTAAACCCAGAGTGTCCCTCATTTTCTAACTGCTCAATTTGAATCTGCTGGAGCTGATTTAGATGCACCACAGTGGCATGCAGCAGGCTGCTGCCAGCACTTCATCAGCCCCCCTTTGCTCTGCAGAAAAAGCAAGTGCTGGAGAGGAGACTTCTGGAAAGGTGAAAACTTGATTTGTGCCTTTCTCAGTAACCAGGAACCTGTATCACCAGCAAACATCCTTTCATTTCTTGGCATCAGACTACTGAGAGGGTAAGTGAGACATTTTGATCCTACAACATGCTTACGTTAAACGTCTCAGGAGTAACTAACCTTTGCAAGGAACCAGCCAGCAGAGCCACCCTTGTTATTATGACCTATATTAATTTTCCTTAACCTTCCCAAATTTGGAGCATCGAGTGTGAACTTGTCTTCTGCTCCCTTTTCAAAGTTGTCTTTGTCATTGTCCAGTTTTCTCACACCTGAGAAAAAATATAGAAGAACCAAGGAGGAAAGGGTTACTGGCATATGCGTGTTTGTAAGGAAGCAAATATTTAGGAATGTCACCACTGATTTAATCAAATATTCTCCAGGTACCAGCTCTCTGCAACCAGGATTCAAGGTAAAGGCAGAGGACTTTATATTCTAATAAAAAATGTACCTTTTCTTGAGCACACAAAAGACCAGGATTTTCACTGTAATGTCACAGTTACTTACAGCTCTCAGAGTTTTCAGAAATATATATCCAGATGGCTCTTGCATCTTTTTTTCATACCACCACATTTCCCTTTTATTTTTAATGTCTTTAAAAATCTCCAAACTGTTTAAAAAAGACTTTGGTCACAAGCTGCAGATTTTGTCATTTCAGGACATAGGATTCTTTACTGCATTGCACAGGAAGGATTTCTTTTCAAATTAGGACCCAACCAGGGGTATTGGCTCTTCCTGATCTCACAGGAGCTTGTCTTTATGAAAAGTATTAAAGCATTGACCCCAGTTGCAACCAACGCTGTTCCTGTGCGAGCGATGCTGCGGGTGGGATTGAACCTGCCCAAGGCACCAGTGCAGGGAAAGGTGTCAGAGGACAATTCATCCTACTTACCTTGGAAGGGGATGAATCATTTTCTAGGGGTGTTATTCCTCTATGTAGATATGACAGAGTGCCTGGACAACCAGCTTAGATTTAAACTCTAAATTTCAGCTGTCTCCAGTAAGATCAGATGAATCCCCTTGTAAAAGTCGGGAGAATTAATCAAGGATGAGACCTATCCACTAGGTTTCATAATCTGTTCAAGGACATTTGGCAGACATGTCATTTTTTCTTGAATTTGACAGGATAGGTGCAGTATAGAAGAGAGAGACTTTGCTAGCTGGGTCTCCAGGAATTTCCGCCCACTCTTCTCCATGACATGACCCAGAGAGTCTGGGCACATCTTTCAGTATTATTCAGTTAAAAATATTTTTAAAAAATCAAATTCAAGTTCCTAGGCCACTGTTGTAGTACAGTCTAGATTTAAAAAAAACAAACAAAAAAGCTACCACCATTACTTTAAAGCCAGCTAATATAAACCTTGGTTAGATGATCTTTTTACATGGCCAAGCAGGCTCAGCCACAGCCTGTGCCACACTGAAAGGACAGCTTCATCCACCCAGGGCCACAGACAGATGGGACATGCAGCTTTCACTGCATGCCCTGTAAATACACATTTGTGTTGGATCCCTCAGCAGACTTGCACTTACTGCACTATTTATGCTGGTGGTTCATCCTGCATTTTCCTAGGGTTTGGGTTTTTTGGTGGTAGGTAACTTCAGTCCTTCTCACAGCTCAGCTACGACTACTGCTCTGCAGACGAAGCTTCCAGAAGCTGTGGATGTGAGAAACCCCAGAGCTAACACCATTTATTGTGCCTTTCACTCAGCCAAATTATTCTGCATTTGCCAGATTGCTGCTGTGTGTTGTTCAGGTCGCAGGCCTGCCGAGCAGGAAGAAATATTTTAGGAAATTATTTGCATTTGAATACCTGTGTCTCCTTTCTCACCGAAGATATTAATGAAGACATCCGCATCTGTTCCACTGCCGCTAACTTCACCCGTAAAAACTCGGACCACGTATTTGTTGACTGCAAGGAGAGAGGCAGAAAGCCCAATACATTAACAACTCAATGGTTTGATAGAAAACATAATAGTACAAACCAATTCAGGCGGTGCTGATGTTATCTTGAAAGCATGCCTGAACCATGGCTCCTAGATCCCGTACATTGACACTCTCCTCCACAAGAGGAATAAAATCCATAGGCAGAGCTCTGATGCTTTGGATAGCCACTGCCCTGGGCAAGAGGAAAAGGTCACTCAGTTCCTGGCCTTGACATTGAAAGCTGAAATAGATGAGAAGAAGGTGCAAATTTTGATGTTGATACATGGCCATTAAATGAACTTGGACCTACACACCAGCCTTGCTTTTTCAAAACGTCAGTGAGTTACAGAGCCAGCCATCTGCCCAAGCTCAGACCTGACCCCTCTGGTCTGAATGCTATCCTAGAGCTATTTTTTCAGCTTAGCTTGTATTAAGCCTGGTTGGTGACAAGAAGTATTTTGAGGAAAGGTCAGTCACACTGCACGAGCATAAAAATTTGAAGGTGACCGCCCTGCTAACCTGCCCAGTTTAAAAAAAAAAATAAAAACCAGTCCTTTTCATTTAATGGAGAAACAGGAGTAAAGCCCAGGAGCGGTGACACTATGAAGCTACATCTTGTGTGGCACCAAGCAACACAAAAATCATATGGGTGAGCCACACCATGAACATTTTACACATGCTGTGTCAGTGAGTTTGAGAAGCAAATCCCTTCAGAGGGATCAGGATGGGTCTAACTTGGCTCCAAAGGACAACAAGGGTGAGCTCACCTGCTTCTGAAACCAGTGAGAAACCCTCACGGCCTTCACTGTGGCTATATTTGGGGCAAACATGAGCAACTTTCAAAATCTACCACTGAAGTCTACCTGACTACCTTGTTCCTCCAAGCAAAATCAGACATGACAGACATTCTAGTGCTGTATTGTCTGTGCAGAACCAGTGCTGGAGACAGACAGCAAGACACAAAACAAGACTGATAAATATTAATGCAAAATCTACTACTGAACATTACATGACCTCATAGATGCCCTCAACAAAGTATCTGTTCTACCCTGCATTACTGAGCCTTGGCTGATACTGCAAGCTCTGTCCTACATCACCTCTTTAGTTCCGAGTCCTGAGCATGCTGCTTCGGCAAAAGGGACAAACGCGCAGGCCACATCACACATACCTCCCTTGCAAAAATAAAACTCTTTGCACCGTGATCGATGGTGAGCAACTTTTTCCCTTTGGCAGGTGCAAAGTTAGGGGAGAAGCTTGTCTGGGCTTCCCAGCCAACACCAGAAATGAATTCCCTCAGGAGCTAGGGACCATCACAAATGCTGGGTTACCACTCCCAGAGCAGGTCACCTGCCTTCTCCACCATAATCAGTGTACATTAAAAATTATTCTAAAAGACAGCAGACACTTCGGTGCACATGCTCCCCCTGAGGCAGAGGATGTGAGAGCAAGCGTATGAGAAGCGGTTGTTGGACCATCCCCTGAATTATAAAGATGCGCTCAGCTCCCAGGGTGAGGAGTACAAGGGCAGAGCCCAAACAGAAGGGAAAATCACCTGTCACGGTTTAATGAATGTGCTCTGAAAAGGCTAAAAATCAAGCTGACATTCTTGGCGCCCCATCACAAAACATGCCATTACAAATAATAATGATAAAAGCGCAATAAATACTAAATAACAAGAGGAAGGTAGAGCCAGGCTCAGTCAAGGGAGAAAATGCCTTAATGTTTATCTTTAACTCTTTTGTTTCAGTTCATAGAGTTCTTACAACCTGCTTGTGATACACCAACACCAAAGGATTTCATTTGCATTAGCCAGGGATGGAGATGGTGGAATTTACAGCTCCCCTTTGGCCACTAAGCTGCTGTAACTAAAAGTGACCCACTGTACCTTGAGGTCTTTAATCACAGAACACATTCTTCAAGAAGCTTTGCTCCTTGCACCTCATCTAGAATATTTATTTTGATTTCACCAATTAATTTTTCACTCCCCTTTTTAGGGGCCAGAGGAGCCTGGCAGGATAAAAGGATCCACAAAAGGACAAGCATCAGCGGCTGAAGTTAGATTATGCCGGTAGGATCAGGCTTTATGCCTCTGAAGTATAGACTAGAAGGGTGCCTGAACACATGCAGAGCGCCAAGGAGGACGTGTACAGAACAAGTCAATGAAGAGCAATCAGCAACAGTGACCAAAAACAGGGCAGGAAGGGCACCTTGTACAGCTTCTGTAGAAATACATCTGGTCAGCAAGAAAAATGCTGGTAAAATTATTTGCCAGACTCAACACCTTGAAACGTTTCTCAGCATCGCTATATTTCAGATCTAAGGTTTATAATGACATCATTTGACAACCTGCTCAGAACACCAAGTGCTCCCAAGGGCTCTCCACACACACGACGTTGCTGTCGGAGTGTCAGCGTGGAGACCCCCTTGACAGAGCTGATTCCTGATCCTGCAGAGATGGGCAATGCGTTGGGTTATCACTTTGGGCTGGTGGCGATCACAGCCCACTGTGCTGCAAGGGTTTGATGTTGTCCTCTGAAGTATAGGCAAGGCTGGGGTGCATGGTACGTGCTTGCATGCCGCTTCTCCGTGCTCCTCGCAGGTGTGTTTCCACAGGCAGAGCTACTCCAAGAGCATTAGCGGTCCTTGGCTTAGGTCATAGCATATCCCTGCTTCGCAAACCACAGAATCACGCCTAGTGTGTGCTCACCAGGTTTTCCCCTTCATTTTTTTTTCATACATTCCCAACTCTGAAACTGTGCGCACTCAAGCCAGTCCCCATCCCTGCCCAGCTCAGCTCTGCATGTGGGACAATTTTAGTTCCTTCATCTTCAGGAAGCAAACAGGATCAATCCTGAGCCGTGCTGAATTTTTGCCAGCGCTCTCTCCCTCCCTGAGCACTTCAACATTCAGCTGCAGCAGAGAGAGTAGCTCTTCATTCTGCTCAGGGGTCCTTCTGTGCTTCATACCTCAGCACATCTTACAGAATTACATGGTGGATGTGCAAATTTAAATAGAAAGGGATGCTACATCTCAAAAAGACAGCAAGGATTCAGCTGCTAGAAGCATGCAGGAAAAGGCTCTCATTGCAGCCAGGCAGAGATCTGGCTGAAGTCAAGGACTCTTCATTTTAAGCATGGGTGGATGTTGTTCCCTCTCCTGTAAGCCCTTAATCATGCATTATTTAAAACAGTAACATCATCTTTTCAAAAATACCCAGTTGGTATTTTTTTCATCTCAATACATGACTCTGAGTTCATCTGCAAAACAGAGATCAAGATGTTGCCTGGATATTTTTTTTTTTTTTTTTCCTGAATGCTTCTCCTAGCACTGAGAACATGCAAAATGCTAATGTACGGCTGGTAAAAGCTGTGACTCCATCTAGCAGTGCGGGCTCGCTGCAGCACAGGCAGGGAGAGGGGAGCTTTCCTAGAAGTGAAATTAGCAGCTTCAGAGGCACGAACTGCAAGATGCCAAGAGCAGAAGAGCTAACAAAAATTCAGTAGCAAGAGCAGTAACTATTTTCTGCTGTCTTTCCTCTCCCCGTTGCAACTCATAAGCGCTAATGTCCTGTGTGGTTGCGGCACCTTCCTTTTCTCTACAGCAAGGTGTCTGCTTCATTAGAGACAAACCAGCTGCCCCTGACATCTCTTATCCAACGTGCTGACGCACACAAAGCTGGCCCAAGAAGGCATTCGGAGACATTGCCAGGATGCCATCTCTGGGAAGCAGTGGGGTGGCACTAACTGATACGACCCCCCCTGCATTGATTTAGCAGAGGTGTGACAGTCAAGCAGCTTGTCTGTTACTAATCAACTCAGCCACGGCTTTCAACAGCTAAGAGGGAAGATTAATATCACACTGTGGGTTAGAGTCAGGCTCTTTCCACTGAGAGCCAAGTGGTTTATTTCGGTGAAGGGCTGCGATGCCACAGGCACTCAGAGCACTGCTCCCAGGGGATGGCGGGCATGGGGCTGCAGCCCTCCTACCCCCCACACCCCGTTTACCCCTTCTAGGCTGGTCCCACTGCCATCTCCATCCCAAAGAGCCCGGGTGCAACACTACCCCAACACCTCACCCAGGATCTTTTTATCCAGCCCCAGCACCCCTGGTGCTCTCAGGCAACCTCCCTCCTGCCTCCAACCATGGAAACGGCATGGACACATCCCAGCCAAATCCTTCCACCTGCAAGCTGCAGCTGACTGCTCAGCCATCTGATATTCATCTGTTAATGGGGTTTATTTAGCAATATGATATCACGGTCACCTGAAATGCCATAGGATGGAATTGCCTAAAGAAATCTTGTAGCTAGTATTATTTGGGGCATCAGATAGGGCGTTTACACACAAGCTGCTGAGTTTGTAGCAGCAGGAGCACCAGATTTAGGCAGGGAATCAAAGTCGACCATGCTTCATTACCTAGAGTTATCACCTCCTGCAGGGCACAGCGAATTCCCTGCTAGACATCCCTGCCTACCTCCCTTGTGCATGACCTGCCGTGGAGCAGGGCAGCGGCACAGCATCCAGCAACTAAGAAATGTCACAGCCTTCAGAAGCAAAACATGCTGGGTTAAAAGCAGGGCGCTAAGTCATAGGCAGCGATGGATTCTTCTCATAAGGCAACTTTTAGCAATTATCCTTCTGCTTTCACAGTGCTCCCAAGGGTGGCAATGTTTAAGATCCATCCTGTACGGCTCAGCACTGAGCAGGCAGATTTCAGAAGAGGCGGCAGGGGGGACAGGTAGGGGAGAGGTAGCGCTACTGTCTCTGAATTGCTGCTGGCAAAGAAATACAGTTGTGGTTCGTATGAAAAGTGAAAAGAATTGTTGCTAGAGGCAGAGGCAGGGGGCTGGATCTGCAGGCAAGGTGCAGTTTCAACCCGAGTCTGCCACAGCCTTTTTGCGAGCGCTCGGGATGGTGGTTTAACGTCCATATGCCTTGGTTCCCTGCTGTCAGATCAAGTCAGTCATTCCAGCCCACCAGAAATTGT